TCCAGTTGCTCCAATTATCCCCAATTTTCATGGAAGACTTGGCTGCGCGAATCATTTGGTAATGCAAATTTTTAAAGCAATTTCGTCATAAAAAGCACAATCATTTTTTGATTATTGGGTAAAAGTTATTTATTGCTAGTCTATTTATATGTGTATATGTGTAATTGTGTACCACTATGCATGTGATTATGTCCAAAAGAAAAAAAAATAAATTTGGATATTAAATTATTTTAAAAACACTATAAAATGGTATTTTTTAAGGGTGATCTAATAGTCAAACTTATTTTTTTGCAAGTAATAGATCACAGGTTCGATACTTCTTACATTCCTTGAATGTCGGTCACCCTTGTTCCTTGTTCCTCAAATGACATGTCTTTGAACTACCTCAAGTTACGGTGATTACTTAAAAATTCAAAAAAATAGTCGACACGAATCTGAATAGTTTATAACACAAAAAAAAAACATTGTCAAACTATATCTTGAGGTAGTCATTGATTGGGCTTTCAAGGTACTTTATGGTGCTTGTTGTACGTCGACACAAACAAGAAACATATAAATTTGTGAAAATTGGAGAGAAGTTCCCGTAAATAAATTTATAATGACTTAAGTTCGGGAAGGAAACTTATATGAGATTAAGTCAGTGATTAAACTTATATATAGGTAATTAAGTCAACTTTTTTTTTTAAATCTCAAAATTACCCTTAACAGTGTTAATTTTGTCCAGTTATATATGAAAATCATTTATTAAACATTTTGATAATTAACAGAAGTTTTATAAGGAAAATATATATTTTGATAATTATATATGGAAGTTTGGTGTACGAATAAATCATTAGTATATTGAGTGAAATTTAGATCACAAGATTTCCTTAACAATTCAAATTCAATAGTAAACATGATACAATCATAAAGTAGCATGATATAGTAACATGATATAAGCATAGGGGTGGCATTGTAACATGACGTTATATTATTAATATCCTAACCAGAATATAATAACATGATACAAAATTACCAAGCGTAATCGATATAAAATAATTATCAAGAATTATGTGCAAAAGTAACATAAACAGTGCCACCGAATTAGCTGATGTAAACATAGTAACATCAACTTACTCATTCAATTGTTGTAATTGATCAATTATATATTTTAAATTTACATTTTTTGGGTCCCAACAAATGTTAGGATCCACAATAAAATTAATGGCAATGATTGATTTAGTTCATATTTTAGGTCTACTTTTTAAATTCATATAATATTACTCTTTCTAGAATATTCTGAGTGATTTATCGTAGGATATAAACCTTGCCTAGGGCACATACAAGTGGCCTCAAGGGAAAATCCCTATCGGATTTTTTTGCAAAGTGTCTACGATTTCATTGAGAATTGTATAAAACAGGAAAGTACGATAGATGATAGGGGTGTAATTTGAACGCATCAATTCAAACTTTATTACAAACCTAACTCTTAAATATTCAGTGCTCACACAAAAAGATTTCAACACTCCGGGTTGATTTGGGCAACAAGTACCCATCTACTCTATAAATTAAGAAAATGCTTTGGATAGGGTCTTAGATTTTAGAGAATAATGACGAATTAAATTCAGGTTTAATCCGTATTAAGCCGAAATTCCTATCTGAATGGTGTGACCCTTTAATTGAACTCAAAATCAATATGAATTGAATCTACACTCCAGCTAATTAACAATCAAATTTAAGAGTTATATAACCTGAGCTCAATATAATAAACATGAGCATTACCACAATTACATTCTAGGTCAGGTACAATTTCAAATCTAGTATAACTTGAGCTGAACCGATTTTACTACTTGGCCCACTGAACTTGCACCCTAAAAGTAGGGTCATCAATTGATCAAGTTTGGATTGAATTTTGACCAAGTTGAATTCAAATTCAATTTTTAAAGTTCAAGTCAATAATTAGACCAATTTTTTAGCTACGGTGGCTCCGTGCGACGCATGGAGTTTGCACACAACCCCCAACTCTCCTGTCTTCCTTTCTTTTTCTATTATCATAATACCATTTAAAAAGTTAAATAAAAAAATTATAAAATATTAAGTTGATAAAATAATTGTGAGAATTTAGGGTAGTTAAAACTACATTTTTGAAAAATTTAAATTAATGGCTGATTTTTTTTTAAAAAAAATTGCGTAAGTGGTAATTAATTAGTGGTAGAGGATGTGTGATAATTACGTAATTAAAAATTCTAACAAAAAATGAAAGTAGGAAGAAACCATGATTGATCGCCACTAGTTTTGCTTAAAGATACAAACTACAACATTACTGTTATAACTATTTGCATGATTTATGTATCTATCCTAGATAGATTCCCTCCTTTATACTTTCACTCAATATTATTTAATGATAGATTATATATCGTTTATAGGTAAGGAATCTACATATAAATAATGGGTCCCCCTTTATTAATGATAGGTAATCTATTATTGAATGAAAGTATAATGCGGATCTCAATCCATCTATATTACTTACTAAAAGAATCAATTTAGGAGATGAAGTGCTTGACAAACTCTTCCTCCCCAAACCCTATTTTCTCATAATTTTAAATTATATAATTGACCTCCTCCAATTAAATTTCACATGTAGTCTATGTAACTACTTCCAACTTTTTGATTACTTCATATTTGAACATCACCTCTATTACCTATTTTGCATTTACATTTATATAAAATATCAATTTAGCACATTAATAAATAATTTTCTAATAATGTTAGAATGGTGTGGGGGTATAAGTGGTGGTGGGATAGGAGTAGGGGTGGTGGTAAGAATAAAAAAATATATTATAAATTTTGTGTATCGCACAGGACGACCCCTAATTTATATATTATAAAAATTAGGTTGGGGGCAGAGAATTTGAAAAGTCTTCCCGCCCTACTTCCCTCCCTGTATTATCAAAATATGTTCAACAAAAAACACCATTTTTTCTGTTTGGCTTTTAACGTTAGACAATTTAGTCAACATTTTTCACACTATCAAACAATCTCACTGTCCCACAACTATCTCTCTCCTCTCTTTCTCTACCTCTCTTATTTTCTCTCCATTCACTTTAATTTTAAATTACGTAAATAAAGAAAAGACTACAAAAAATAAATTATTATTTAATTAAAATAAAAATATTACATAATTAATGCTCGATTTCTGGAGTTGCAGAGTTGATTTAGATACTAGGGGGGAGATTTTACTGAGTTAGTCATACAGTATTAAAAAAACTGAAGCATCTATTGATATTCAAAATGATGAGAGCATTCCTAAGATCAGTTCATCTTCCTCATGACCATTATTCCGTTTAGATAGTGATTCTGTTTAGTCTAGAGAAATGTATCGGAGAATCCGAGGTCTAAATCCTTCTCTTTCTCACACTCAAAATTCTCTGACGTCTAAACTGTGAACATTCACTCCTTTGTGCCGTGTTCTAGGAAAGATGTCATTCATTCCAGAGATATTCACTGCTCTCGCCTGTAAGGTAATCGATACACTGCCCTTAAGCTACATAGAGCTCTTTCCCTCACAAGAAATACACTAAAGCAAATTGTGACGTTTTTTTGTGGAGGGAATTAATCAGATCGAGTGGTATCATGATGTCATGGCATAGTGTTGCAAGGTGCACCTTTTGTGATTTGTAAGTTACAGAATAGGTAGCAGAACTGTCAAGGGAGATTCGTCATGTTTTTAAACCCTTCAATTTAAACACATATATAATCACGTTGATTTCTAGTCTCGTAACTGTTTGGGTTTGCATTTGAAAAATTGGGCTTATTGACCTTAGATGGGTTGGGTTTAAGGTACATAATTTTCGGGAAGTTTATTTCTAGGCCTCGTCTGGCTTCTATCCAATGGGTGCAACCGAAGGATAAGTAGCATATATATAGATGGCATATTCTAAATTTCTAATCATCTTGCCGTAGTTTACTTAGGTCATTGTTGAATATTCCATCTGAAAGATCACATTGCCCGCATCGATAATACAGGCTTTTGGTCGGTACTAAACAAGAAAAAATATTGGGGTTAACCGTAGCATCACGCTATTATTGTCACATAATGTCATCATTTAATAAAAATATAATAAATAAGCAGATGAATCTCACATATTGTACTAACCTCCTTTCCATTGTCATTTAATAACTATTTAAGTGGGGTTCACCTTGTCAATTTGTTGGTTTATTATTAATTAGTGACAACATGACACGTGGTGTCACCGTTACACCCAATATTTACTCACAAAACAGGTGCCACTATTAGTGCATCTCCAACTCTTACTCAAATTTAGATTCAAATTTAAATTTTAGTAAAAAAGTCTAAAAAACTTGCTCTAACACTTGACTTAAACTTATATTAAATTAAGGGAAATTTATTTTTTTACTCAAATCAAGGGAGACTCAAATCTTTTAATAGTGAGATTTCACTATCTTTTAAAGATCCAATGGTCATCCTTATTCCCTTTTATATTTGAATTTACCCTCATTTAAATTTCGGTCTCTCCTTATTTAAATTTGAGTTTGCTCATTGAAGTCATTTATATCAAATCAAATTTTTTTACTCTAATGTTAATTTAAGTCTAAGTAAAAATTTAAGTCATAGTCGGAGATGCTCTCAATAATTTTTTTTCTCTTTATGGAGAGACAATTTTTTTTTGGTCTACTTGAGAGGCACTAGGTTTGCTTGCTCTCGATCATAAATCTTAATCTAATGTGATGTAATTGTCTAATAAAAAATTAAAAAAAAATAGACCTCACTTCTATTAGTGATGAATCCCACAGTGAATTATCAGATCCTGAGATGGTACATACATGAATCAATAAAAAGCATTCTGAATTAAACCATAAGATAACAACATGAAAATAGCACACAAGAAGAAAGAGATAATGGCCACAGGGTCACAATCCCTTCATTATTCTTAACTCAAAAAAAGCAAATTAAAGTAGGAAAGTAAACTCGACGAATACATCAATCATACTCAATGATCTTAATTCATATACTCGATCTTTGCATCCTGCACGCACACACCTTTGCCCGTAGATTGGGGCTTCAAAGTTATCAACACAGCGTCATCGTCTTCAGCTTTTAAGTCCTCCAAAATCTTATTCAGTCCTATCCTCAGGTAACTAATTTTTGGCCTTGACTTCTTCGTGGAATCGTGTTTATGGGGCAAGGACGCAAAGGTGCCGGCGTACTCGGCGTCGCACGTATCACTCTTCACCACATCATCTTCCTCATTCACATACACTTCAAACGCCACATACGCGCCGCTATCGAACTCTATCGGTCCTATCACCAGTACCTCCTCTTGCTCTTCCTTCTCACTCGGAGTCCTTGATTTCTTCGGCCTGTTAATCAGAAATGTCGACGATCCTGTTAGGAGTATCGGGAAGGTGCTAAGTTTTGATGGGTCAACAGTGGCCGCTATATTGGATTTCTTCCCACGCCGCACTCGCTTTAAATGCTCCCATGGCCTAGGCACTTCCTCATAAAAGTATCCGAGTTTCGTGGTGTCACGACAGTCTCTGACCTTCACACTCACAAGTTTCAAATCTTCGTCGTAGAAGACGAACAAGGCGTTTAACCAATCTCGTTCCATGAATTTATTCGTATTCCTTATCGTCCACAATCGATCAACATTAGCGTGATGCATATAGAATACCGGGTCTCGGCCGGCTGAGTAGAAGTTGCCCAAGTCCTCATGATAAGGCTGGTCTCGGGCACCCACCCACGTGTGCACCTGATTGTGAGGAGTGCTTTCGATGGACCCTTGTCCAGGAGTGCTGGTATCGCCGGCATAGTAACGGCCTCCAAGAAAGAGCAGAGGTCTCGAGCTATTGTTGACCATTTGGGTGTGCATTATGGAAAGATTGCATTGTATTTGTTGATCATCGGGTTTATCAACGTCCTCACCGCTGTAGCCCAGATCGATAATGCTTGAAATGTGTTTGCTATCACGCAACGGGTCATACAGGCTCCCAGAATGCATATTGGGTGGGAATCTCATGCCGTCAGGAACGTCCCAATTCCAAAATGGCAAAGCAAAAGTGCCATCGTTGTCAGACCCATCCTCTTGGAGCAATTTTATCAGGATTCTCTCAAAAAAGTACAAGTACCATCTGTGGAAGGGAAAGAAAAGCCATGAGAAGTGAACTTGAAGCCCAACGTCTTTAAATCCGGCTTGGTAATAGGCACCATTGCAGTAAGCGCAATGGATATTAGCTTGTTGCATGAAATTATGTGGGTGATCTGCTGGAAGACCCTTCATGAGCTCAATGCCTCTGCGAAACTTTTTCAAATAGTCTGGATCGACTAATGCTTCATGAGCAGGTCGTCTAGTGCGTAGCTTTGTGAACGTGGGAAGATCGTAAGGCAGTGGAATCATTTCCTGTCCCACCTGTGGGGGACAACAAGCGACTGGTTCTCCAGTATTAGTACTTTTGATGGCGTTGTGACATGTTGTAAGGTCAGGCCCCGGCACCGGAGCAGCAAAGGCTGAAGGATCATAGATGAGATTGGCAGCACCGTAGAGCCCACCAAGCCCAAGAAGAACATTCCTCCGATCAAACTTTCCTTGAAAAGTTTCTCCATCATTATTGGAGCCAGCCTTAGGGTTTTGATCACCACCATGCATGTTCTTGCATGAAACTTGGAACCGATGGTTACGCTTTCTAGTTGTGAGGCATTGTCCTGGCTTGACAAAGGAGGGCCATGAAGACAAGGGGGAGGAGAGGATGATCGTGGAGGAGGAGGAAGAATAGGCGACAGTGGTGGTGGTGGCGGTGGTTAGTGGAAGAGAAGCCATGCTCTTATATTGCTAGTTGCTACTTGTTAGTGTGTCACCATGAGGCTACTGGACTATGTTTATATAGAGAATTCTCCCTGATTCCCTGACCCACAAAGCCCGTCCTTTCTTGAAATTTAAGGTCCTCTTCAAGACAGCATCTAGTCTACCATATGTATTCTGTATTATTCGGTTAAAAAATTTAAATCCAACCCAACAATGTGAGGTTCAGCTCCACTACCCAATAGCCCACTCTAGTAGCCACCTCTATGGCCGATTACTGAATGGCTAGATATGTTGACAAAGTTTACTGGTGCATTAAATGGGGTCCTTCTTTTCTTTATTTTTTGGCCAAAAACTATCTATAAATAAGAAGTTTAGTCAGGGCCATAAGTATCCTCAAGGATTAGTGAGGAAGAGAGAGATTCAACAGAGATCTCATTTGTGAGAGAATTTTGTATAAATTGTATTGATTTTCAAAGAAAAATAAAAGTTTTCTCTTCTGTTTATATCTTGTTTGTAGTGTATTTTCGGTCTTGCTTAACCAACACAATGTTAATTACATTTAGTTGATTGACAGTTCACCACAATATCAGTTGAGACCCCATTATTAATTTAGTGACTTTGGTGCATTAGATCGACAAATTTGGTTAAATAATATTTTTCAATCTAAAATACAAGGAATTCCTTTTGTTTTTCGGTCCACAAAATCAGGGCTGTATGTTTTAAAGGGCTATAATGCTATACAATAAATAATAAAAGAGATTCAAAATAGAGTTTAAATGATGGAACAACTGAAAAGATGATGAAAAGTTAAATTTTAAATATATAAAAATGGAACCAAAAGTATTACTATGGTAGTGTCATGTCATTTAGTTCCTATTTTTTGTTTTATTTTTGTTCACTTAGCATTACTCTTTACAATATAGGTGGAGATTGGAAAATTGAAGAGTAATATTGAAGTTAATATAAAATAATAAAATTAAATTTTCAATTCTGACTTAATCTCAGATAAATTGTACCTAGTTTTTATTTGCTTATAAATTGCAACACCACGTATATCATAGTATTTAGGGTAAGTGGATTTTTTTTGGACTTTGAAAAATAAACAACATTAGGATTTAGGGTAAGTGGATTTCTTGGCTAATTTTTGGGAATAAGATCTTAAAATCTGACACGATCAATAAGAAGAGATCAATAAATATTAACTCAAAATCTGAACTTGGAGCAAAACCCAGAATAATTTGATATAAGTAATATGTTGATGATTATGTACGTCTTAATTTGGATTATTCTGACAACAAAAAAAAACTTAGAGTGGGACTATTCTCATCTCATAAATCTCCGTTCCCACCTCAATAAACTTTAAATCATAAAATTATTAACTCCACCTCTTCTATACACACCCCACAAGTAGTTAAGTTCACCTCATTAATGACTAAACTTATCTCAATATTCATCTTTAGGGTTTTTTCTATACCTTTTCTCACACAACCCCGTTAATGGCAATGGTCTCAGAAGTCTTCGCCTTGGCCAAAACCTCCCAGTAGAATGCATGAAATGAGCATTGAGCTAGTCTCAAAAAATTCAGTGTCCTTAAAAGTTGGAGAACTAGCAGCTCTCAACACAGAGTAGACCGAATAGAAGTAGGCTGCATTTGTTCCCAAGGCAATCAAGACGTCCATATTTGTGGAGCCATGGCGTAATGCTTTGTAAGAACCGGCGTAGAATCGTCGGCCAATGTTGAACTGCACTGGAGTAGATATTATCCACCTCAAAAGCTCTCCAATAGGCAGCATTTTGACCACTTTGGTTTCCAATTCATACTTAATTCCAGGGATATAGATAAGGACCATGGAAATTAAGAATGCTGGAATTATAAAACCAAACTCCATAGGATTGATCTATAGTATTGTTTGATTTCCTCCAGTCTATGGGCATCTCTTCCTCCTCCTTCAGGAAATATTATTGTCTTGATGAGGTATAGAAAGAATCCCTAAAAGTGAATATTTAAATGAGTTTAGTTATTAAAGGGGTGGATATTGAATAGAGTGGACATATTTATTGGTCGGGTGAATATAAAAAGGACGGAGTTAGTAATTTGACGATTTATGAGATGGAAACGGAGATTTATGGGGTGAAATTAGTCCCACCCAAAAAACTTTGGATTATAGCTTTGAGTTGGAAAAAAGTATGGACATCAAAATCATTAATAGCTTTGTTGTTGCAGATATTGATTCAATTTATTTATAGTGATTTTATTTGAGTTTTCTAACTGCCAAAAAAATAATTTGAGAGCTTTCTAAGTCGAAACTTAAAGCTAATGTGTTAAGCCAGTTTTGTTACAATCAGAAAGCAAATGCTCGTAATATTCGGGGATAGCAGTGTAATTAATGAAAATTTATTTTTATTATAAAACACAAACCGGGGACCACCGGTATGCCTTAATAATAATAATAATAAATTATTCAATTGCATCGATAATGACTAGATTCCAAATCTTTTGTTGGTCAATGGTTTTGGATGGGCCCCTGAGATGCAAAGTTGGCTAAAGCTGGAATCAAGTGTGAGAATAGGTTTTTCTATTTATTTTCTTTTATAGGAAAGTGGAAGAAAAAAACTGTAATATAAAATAAATAAAGAATTAGAATTTTATCAATCATTTGAAATCAAGTTATGAAAAATTCATCCTACGTAAATATTCTAGTCCTGACATGACATGAACAATTTATCTTTTATCCAAACCAAAAAAAATTAATTGAAATATCCATAAACACTCGTCGAACAAAAAAAGGCGGTAAACTATATATTGTCTCTTACGTTGGTTCAGGCTCATATTTACCGACCTTTGCTCCTGTACAAATATTTTGTTTAATTATCTAGGTTTTGGACTTTGTAATAATAAAGCTTATGATTTTTTTTTTTTTGTGTCATTATCAGGTGAGAAACAGAACAATGACAATATAAAAGTGATTTAGTGAATATTGAGGGGCTGTTTGGTTTGATTTTTAAAAATTATATTTTATTCTCAAATCTCTAAAAACAATGAAAACATGTTCGATTTGAATTTTTGTTCTCTAGTTTTTGTAAAAAGAGAGACAGTAAAGAATAAAAAATGGGAAATAAGTTGAGTTTGTTTTGGATGTTTTAGAGATAAAAGAAGAAAAAATGAAAAACACAGAGGACAATTAAACTCTTTAATGAGATCTCTCATTCAAGTTCCCGCAAAACAAGTCATAGTGCAAATTTTTTTTTCTTTTATCTTTCTCTCTCCCAGACTCTCACTCTCCCCGTCTTTTTCTCTCTCCACCAACTCTCTTAGACAGAACGTTTTCTCCAACAAAACACACACACACACAGGAGCTATCCAATGACTAGATCTACTACGAGCGCTCTGGCAATTGGTTCGATCGGCGAAAACACATCTCTAATTTTTTTGGTTTAGATCTAGTTTTATATATATATACACACACCAATAAAGTAAGGGGTTTCAGATCTCATTTTTTTTTGGTTCATTGATTTTGAATGTGTTATTGATAAGAGATTTTTTGATATTGAATCTGTCATTGATATTGATTTTGTTATTGGTGTCGTCATTGATCTAAGATTTTTTGGTTTAAAAAAATTACTGGTGTTCGGTTGATTGATTTTATGTATAAATTGATATTGAATCTGTTATAAATGAATATTGAATATGTTTGGTTTATTTTAAAGTTTATTTTATTGAATTTTTTTTATGAAATTGTCTATCTAAAAATAACGTCCTCACATTTTTTTTATTAATTTTTTGAATTATTGTCCAAACATATATTTAAACTGTCAAAATAAGTTTTACTGTTTTTTGTTTTGAAAAACTGTTTTTTAAATCATCTAATCAAACAAATTTTTCATTTAAGGAAATATCAAAAATATTTTTCTAAAATTTTTTCCAAAAACTATTTTTACATACATTATTTTGAGACGCAAACCAAAGAAGGCCTAAATCATTTTGTATACCGACAAGGACTAAATTATTCAAAATAGTAGATAGATTAAAATTTAAATGTGCCCCATCAAAAGTCTGGATGTATGGCCTGTAGTTTATTTTTTTTCTCTGGTTCTTTAATGGTTGAGGTCTAATAAAGTGTAATGTTCTATATATAATCTATGATTATTTTATTAAAACCATCCACTATTCAAAAAAGCTTAAATTATTAAATAGTTCCTCGCAATAGAGACTTAATTTATTTCTTCTCCATGATTATTGGCACAAAATTGTCTTTATCGAATTTATTTGTTCCCTAAATCATGATAAAAATGGACCCAATTCCCCACTACACACTTTTTTCAATTTTTTAATCATAGGTCACCCGTGTGCATTGTTTATTAGCTGATAATATAATAAGATAATTTTATATGTCCTACGTTGGACAATAAAAAATAAAAATATAATATTAAAAAAATTCGGTACAATAATTAGATCCAGACAAATTCCATATTATATAAAAAAAAATGGTAAATCAGGGATCAATAGTTCATCAGTCAAGGTATGTGATTGAGGAAAAAACTATTCATTGTGATGGTAATTTCATGTTAGTATTATCATAAAGGCCTACACCAAAAACTTAAGTACGATTGGTCCAAAAAATTAAAATCTTGTCCTACCACGTTTTGCGTCCAGGAACTTCAAACCCCTCACTCATGAATGATATATATATATATAACCCAGTTCCACTCCCACCCACCCAAAAAGTTACTTTTCAAAATTGAGTAGCCCATTTCTTTTTCTTTTCTTTTCTATTTTCTTCCTCCTCCCCACGCCCACCTAACATAGCAGGACAATGTTTTTCATCGTGCTTCTCTCTCTTTTACCTTTCATTCTTCTTTCTTCTCTCTTGTTGCTCAGGCTATTTGAATATAGTCTTTGTTGAATTCTGAGTATAGTGATAGATATAAAATATCGTAAGGCCCAATTCCATTCCCATCCACTGAAAAAGTTACTTTCAAAATTGAGTAGCCCACTTCTTTTTCTTTTTCTTTTCCTTTCTTCTTTTTTTCCTCCTGCCCCCGCCCACCTAACGTAACCTGACTATGTTTGTTGGATAAACTTGACAATGACAATGGTTTTTTTCAGCACTTTTGCATCATGCTTCTCTCTCTTTTCCCTTTCTTTCTTCTCTCTTGTTGTTCAGGTTACTGGTCTTTGTTGAATTCTAATTATAGTGTTAGATATGATTTTTTCTGATTTTTAAATTTATTCTACTTGAATATGATTTTTGCTCTTTAAAAATTGTTCGATAAACTTTTTACTTGAAAAGTGTTGAATAGACTTCTTGCTTGCTCACTATACCAAATGCTAGTTTTTATTGATAAGAAGAATTATGTTGTAATTTTCAGTTGGTGACATATAATTTTTTTTTATTTTTTGAATTATTTATAATGTTGGATTATGTTGGGCTTGGACTTGAGCGGGGGTGAAGGCGGGGACGGGGCAAAGATTACAAATTTACTTACGGACGGGGATGAGAATGAAAATTATATCTGCTAACAGAGATAAACAGAGTTTTTTTACGAAGATGAAGACTACACCCCCACCCCCTCTTCGATCCACTGTCATCCAGTAATGCTCTTCTCCTTCTTCTTCTTTTTTTTTTTTTGCCAGAAAGTCCTTCTTTCAGCTTTTTCTACCTGATTTCATTTTTTAAAATTGTTTTTGTCAATTTTTTTAAGAGATACAAAACTCATTTGAGAGACCTACACATCCAAATATGTATATAGACATACCCATATATACACTAAAATATGTATGATTATGATTCCATCATGCATAAACCAACATGTTTAATATATATATAGATCTATCGTACATATATACTCTACAATCAATAAATTAAGGAAGATAACAAGATAATTTTAATCTTACCTTTTTACTTAGATTGGTCATCCCAAAAGCGTTATCACCTTAGTAATGGTGGATGACTTCTCTCCCCCTCTCTCTCTATCTGTTTATCTTTTAAAACTAAAAGTTGGCCGATTACTTTCTCATCCACTTTTCTTTGCTTATCTTTATATGCTAGGTGGGACACCTTCTGCCAAATTAATTGGCAAGACATGAAGGTGACATACTGACATACGGTGAAAGTCATGGGTGGTAATGACAGGATAATTATGTTTCTTTGCCTTCCCAACGTGACCGATTCAGCCAAATAGTTATGGCAGGCTGTCATGATGGATAATGCTATTCAACATTTTTTTTAGTAATTCATTCAATTTTATTTAATTAATTTAACTTAAATTAATTTAACCTCGGTATTAAATATAGTCAATATTATACTAGTCAGACTCCTTTCTATGAGAGCAATTGAGCGATGAAATCCATTTTTTCATTCAACTTTTCTATTAAAAGTCGAAATTTTGATAACTCATTAGATATAATTATAAATCGTAGGTTTTCACAATTCTTTCCCTCTCTCTCTTGTTGGTTTTAATTTTATATTAACATCAAACAACATATTTATGTCATGGTTTTTTACTCTAATAATAATTTTATAGGAAAATTTCATCCACATACTTTATAGATAGGTTTAAATTCAATGACACATTTTTCTGTTTCTAAAATTTTATTGACACCCTTGTCAAGATTTGTCCCATAACGACAGTGACGGAAGTAACACTTTTTATGTTTATATCAATACTAAATCTATAAATTCACCAATATAACATATTTAATTATCTAAATGTTGGCCCATATAACTTCAATGACACCCCTCTCAATTCTGAAATTCCATTGCACTCACTTTTTATTCTATTATATGAACATTCAATTTTAAGCTACATTCAAATTTATTTAATTAATATTAAATTTTATTAACACTAA